TAATTACTTTATTGTTGACAAACTAAAATCTTAATAATACTAACAAAGGAAGAAAAATAGTGGGAGCACGTGGCATGAGAAGAAGTGAGAAGGTTGAAATGAGAAGGTAAGTGAGAAGGTTGCTCGCATACATATCATGATGTAGAAAGTAAAAGAGAGTACGTACCATGGTGTAGAAAAGTAAAAGAGAGCAGCTCGAACAAACTTCAGTCCAGTCCGAATGTAAAGTTATTTTGAACAGACCAATGAACTTAGCTACCCATTGTAACATATCCGGAAACTCCACAGGGAGCTGATACACATAAAGCAAGACAATGTTGAAGCCTGCATACAAGTGAAAAGGCTTCCACCACCTTCAAACCCATAGGTGCAACCATGAGCAACAGAAGCAAAACTAACTACAGCAGATGTGTACATGGATACATAGATAGATATATGGACAGTAAGAGAGAGTGTGTGTATGAGAGAGACGGAGACAGAGACAGAGAGAGAGGCAACAATATCATCGAGTAACAAATGATGGATTGCAAGGAAATCACCTGAAAAGTCCTAGAAAATTGCTTGTCAGAGACCAATCTACAAGACCAATGCAGCTCCCAATAAAAAAGGGTAGAGAAACCCATGAAGGATGGCTAATTCCGACAACCAACTGAATGGCAGGCAACAACAACAAGGCAGCAACCCTAAGATGAGAACCTTCCAGAAGGAACAACGAAATAATTCCAAATCAGTTGTTACTTTTGTATGATTAATTCTGGTATCTTCAACTTAACCAACTCATAACTAAGATTGCACACAGGCATGTATATGTCATTTTAACATCTGATTAATAAGGTGAATAAATCAACTGCTAAAAGCATCTTTAAAAATTTGCAAGAACATCATCCCAAGAGAAAATCAAATGCATAACAAGAACTGTATCCAAGATTTATACATTAGAATTGGATTCTTTATGTATATAATGTTATATGGCTTGATAGGAGAAATCATAGAAAAAAAACCGAAGAGACAAAAAAAATCAGGCAATTAATTACTTACAAATTGGTCGTTCAATGGCTGATGAGAAACAACCCCAACATGAATCGCATGATGAAACAGGACCAAATCTGTTTCCATACAAATCAACTAATGCAACTGCAACTACTGATAGTTGTAAGAGTAAAAAATATAGCACGAAAGGAGATTTCCATGACTGCAATCTGCAAAAGCAGACACAAAACGCTGTATAAATGTATGCTTATAATATAAAGCGATGTGAGATTAAATAGAAACAAAGCAAATTCTTACATCATGAATCCAATAAGATTTGCCCACCAAGCATCTACTCCGCTCCATTTATTTCCCTCAATAGCCCATATAACAAGATATATCACTTGAGAAAAAATAACAAATAAAGAAAATATAACAATGATCCATGACAATAAAAGCTGCCTTCCGAGATGAAATCCTACAAAAAGAAAAACACTGTCAGAAGTAGAAAGGTTCAATTATATAAGTAATTCCAGCATTTAGGATAATAAGAAGCAGCATATAAAATACCAAAATCATTTTTCTTTTCTCTCATAAATTGTAATGATAACACCAAATTCTGCATGAATCCAATAGAACTCAAGGTTCGACATTGAGTGAGATCTTACATAAAACTCGAGTGGATCTCCAAAAATTCATGTTCTTTTGTTGTTTAAAAGAAGTTCACACCACTTATGCATAAACTTGGCATCTAAGTGGGTGGACATAGCTACTCAGGAAAACCAAATCTGAGCACTCATAGATGCATAGCTAAAGGAATCATGACAATTATATTATAAACAGTAGTCGAGCTTAACTAAGCGATTGTGATCATCTCACAATTAACATTGTTTTCGGGGAAAATCAAAGAACTTTAGCTACTCTCTTGTACATAGCCATAACAAGAAAACCCCTTGCATATGAGACATTACATGTCAACCCACTAACAAGAAAGTAGTAATCCATAAGCACATCTTGCACATAGTTTCCTAGTATCTCACAAATACATTTTCACTTGGTACCATGTCTACCTAAATTCATTCGAAACGTCGAAACCAAGCTTGAAAATTCACAGAGCAGCTAGCTTACCTAGTTTTGGTACATTAAATAGAATAAGAAGAAACGCTATCAAATCGACAAGAGAGAGCACGCTCCAGTTGATAACAGCAGCTGCAAGAAAAAAGATGGTAACTTTTAAGAGTTGCAATTTGACTTTCTAAGAAAACATTGGCAAAAGACAAAGGCATTTGCTTTTGAATTTGGATACCAGTTAGCAGCAGCAGAGGCAACACGAAACCGCCAAGAAGTCTCCCCATTAGAGGCCCTTAAAACCCCAAACCAATCACTTCAACTCCAAGAATCCATCAATGGGTTTTCGATCAGAATCAAATTCACGAAAACCCATTTCCCAAAACCTTCAAATTTCCTCAGAAAACTCCCAATTTCCTCAGAAACTCCCAATTCGAATAGAAAAAGGAGAAACTTAGCTGTTGCTTTCTTCTTTGTTTGGCACACGATAACGGAACGAAACAAAAAATAGGTACGTTGGTCCTCCAAAATTCGCGGCAACTCAAACAACCGTAAACAATCGTTCAAACTCCAAAGTAATAATTAATCAGAAGTATTAGTCTCTGGAGCTCCGATAACTACCAGTCTCCTAAGTCGGAGCTGCAAGTCGCACACATTTTATGAGATTGGCAAACATGCAAGAAGCTTTCAGAAGGAAAAAAATAAATAAAATTTATATAATAAATAAATAAAATTTATTATATTGCAAAGCCTGCAAGTGATTAGAATGGTTGGTGGAATTCGCGCGGAAATAAGTAGAGTCGTACAAGTGTTCGTTTTCTGTTTGGGCTCTACTCTGTATTATCTGGGAAGTTATTGATTGGCCCCACTTATGTTGGCCCACAAACCGATGAATAAGGACAATATCTAGTTATTAATGGATCTTCACCGTACACATTAATTAAAATGGTTCATTGATTCTCTTTGGCTTCGGGTTGTGCTTCCCGTTCTTCACAAAAAAAAAAAATAAATAAAACTAATAAAAAAAGATTTTAAAATTTTGAGTTTTAATTAAAAATTATATTATAATTTTATTTAATTATAAAGACAATAAAAAGAAAAGAAAAAAAACCTAACTAAAGAAGCGTGCAAAGAGCATCCAATCAATCATTCAGTTGCATAACCCTTTGATATAATCTAAACATATTTTATTCCTTTAAAATTAAAATTTCAAATTGAAGTAAGTTCTATTCGATTCAGAACCACATCTGGGATGGTATGGTGTGGGCGCTGACGTTGATCTCTTTTATTTTTTTATTTTTATCTTTTAGTCATGCATGATTTTAACGACGTAGACGATAATCTCTATCATTTTTTTTTTAATCTTTTTATTGCATTCTAGTAAAAGAACTTGAAAATCTGGAACGAGCATCTACCATTAAATTTCATAAACAGTGTAGTACTATTAAGTTTCATAAACAGTGTAGCACCATTAAGTTTCATAAACACTGTAGTAAGTTTCACAAACAGTTTGTGTGAGGGGCGTACAGGTTCGCACGTCAGTTTTTTTTTTTTAATATTAAAATTATGTTTTTCGTTAAAATTTAAGTTTTTTGTCCTTTTTATTAAAATTTAAGAGTTTTTCATTAAAACTTAAGTTTTTTTCATTAAATAAAGTTATAGCATGGATTTTTATTAAAATAAACTTAGTCCAAGCGTTTTTCATAAAAGTTTCAAAAAAAAAAAAGGTTCATTAATATCACCATGTATTACTGTATAATATTATTCCTCTCCGCTTGTACTCAAATGTCTCAAATTCGATTTTTACCAAAAAAGAATTTAAACCATATTATTATGGTTACTCCAATGTAAGGGTTAGCGTAGTCCCTCATTCCCTAGTGTAGATAATATCATTTGTTAAAAAATAAAAATAAAAGACTCAAGCAAAAGACGGTTATGTATATGTACCCAACAAATTGACAGCAAGCACTTTGACTATTTTTTTAGGATAGTGCTATTTATGCATTTATTTTTACTTTTTACATATTTTTCTTCATTTTTACCATTCATCTTCTCGATTCATTTGATCAGACAGCCGAAAACTGAGAATGGTTTGTGAGAAATAAACATGAATGTGTGAACATCACTACTCTTTTCAATAGAAATAAATTTAAAATAGTGATTTGCTAATTAGTTATTACACTTAAGTGAATAAAGAGGTGTACCCTTGTAATTCTTGAGTTCGATATCTAGAGCCTAGACTAGGTGGGCTGTCCGATTGATCTGCCCACAAAGAAATAGGCCCCTTTGTATTTGTATTTAAATATAACTTTGATGTGTAGGAACTTGCATACAAATATACTTATGCCGTATTGTTCCGTACTAGTGACACAATAGCGATATACTCGTATCATATATGTTGCTGGTACGACGTGCACCTAGTTGTTCAATGATGATTGAATAGCGTGGGCTCAAAACCCTGGGATTTCATACCGTTTTACTCTCTTTCAAATAGTATTTCAACCTTTTTAGCTCGTGCTAGTGCCCCCAGGAGAAGTTCAGTCCGTATTCGATGTGGGCGTTAGAACAATGCGAGGACCTTTCCTTAGTATAAGAGGACCGGAAAGAATGCATTTTTGGTGTACCAGTTATCGTATACACGGAGTCAATGATATTGGGCAGGGACCTTTCCTTAGTGCAAGAGGACTAGGAAGAATGCACCTCTGGTGTACCAATTATCGTACGCATAGAGTCAATAATATTGGGCGAGGACCTTTCCTTAGTACAAGAGGACCGAGAAGAATGCACCTCTGGTGTACCAATTATCGTACGCATAGAGTCAATGATATTGGGCGAGGACCTTTCCTTAGTATAAGAGGACCGAGAAGAATGCAACTCTGATGTACCAATTATCGTAAGCACAGAGTCAATGATATTGGGCCAGAAAATTCTCCATTTAAGTGAAGCCCAAATGCTGTCCCCGTCCAACACCTCTTCTTCCCTGCCTCAAATTTCTTATCTCCCAATGTTTTTCCTCTGTTTCCTTTCTGTTCTTGAATTCTCAGCGAAAATCTTATCAGCGGAGAGAGAAAGTGTTCAACCATGAACACCTTAACTTCAACCTCTCTCTGCAACTTCCAATATCCTTTCACCGTTTCGAACCCGAGAAACGTTTCACCCTGCAATTCTCCGTTTCCCACCAAATTTTTTTTCAGACTTTATGCCAATGCCAATGAGCTGGATGCTCCGGCAGCAGTGGAGGAACCAAAGCCAGAGCTAGAAGAAGCCAAGCCACCGGAAGCCGGAAAGTCCACCACTTTCTCTGCTGCTTCTCCACTCGACAAGGACCTCAAAAAGGTTGGATTTTTATACCTTTTTTTGTTCATATGGGTGTCCTGAATTGCAATTTATAAAGACTTTGTTTGTAAATTTTATTGTGAATTGTGAAATTGGGTAGTGAAAACGGAATCATTATGTTAAGTGGGTTGTTGAGAGTGTGAATCCCGCAACGAGAAAAAGCTTATGCTCATATTATAATGCGGTGTCAGAGCAGGCTATTCAGTACATATTTTTTCGTTTGAGTTGAAGAATGTAAAGTCACATGTCCGAAACTTAAAAAAAAAAGATACGGCATACAATTTCCGCTACTAATGACATCGAAACCTTTTGCATAAAACCCCACACCTTATAGAGTCGAGTCACTGGTAATTTGCAAAAAGTTGTATTAGAGTTAGTTTGTGTGCTTTAGTGAGCCTAATGTGGGCTAATGTATTGGATGAAACTTAAGCCAAAAATCAACATCGATTTCTACCCGGAAAAGCATTTCACTTGTATCTGACTACCAAAAATATGAACAAAGAAATAAACTAGTTGAAGAAGCTAATAGAATTGTATCGACGTCTCTTTAACATCAAATCTGTGATGAAAGTAATCTACATTGAGAATAGTCCGATTTCGGCTATGTTTCCAAACATAGTTTACCCAACCGGATGGATGTTGAGAGTATGAATCCCACGTCGGTGAAAGAAGGGACCTCGCATGTGAGTTGGTATGATCGCATCCTCACACGCCCCAACTTTCTTCAACCGGATGGATTCCTTTTTGTTTAGCATATCCACCCCGTGTAGTGATAGATTGTTTTTCTCCGATAGAAAACTGTCATGTAATCAATTTCTCACAACGCTATGCTTCCATTTTTTTTGCAACAGGTGGTTCAGAAGACTGCTGCAACCTTTGCACCAAGGGCTTCGACAGCTTCCAAAAACCCCGCTGTGCCCGGTAGTACTCTCTACACTGTTTTTGAGGTTCAAGCCTATGCCTCCATGCTGCTAGGTGGATTTCTGTCCTTCAATCTCATCTTCCCATCGAACGAACCAGACATATGGAGGTTAATGGGAATGTGGTCCATTTGGATGTTTAGTAAGTTATCCCCCTCTAAATGTACCTCCAAAGTTTCCTCTTGTAGCAAAGATATAATGAACAAAGAATTTAACTTTCTAATTTTGCAGCAATTCCTTCACTGCGTGCACGAGACTGCTCGAAAAATGAGAAGGAAGCTCTAAACTATCTCTTCCTCCTCGTCCCGTTACTCAATGTTACAATCCCATTCTTTGTGAAGTCCTTTGCTGTCGTTTGGTCTGCTGATACTGTAGCCTTTTTCGCCATGTATGCGTGGAAGGTATGCGATCACAGATTCAGATGTTTGAATTAGGCATTCCTTTTTATAATTTGTGATATTTCTCTGCTAATATAGCAAGTAACATACGTTCTGTTTCTACAGCTTGGGTGGCTAGAAAGAAAAGACTAGGAATTGAAGTTGCTTGCTCGTTTCAAATCAATGGATAGGCACATCATTTATACCAAGTTTCTAGATGCTGACGGCTTGAAAGTACGACAAGAGCTTGTACGTTTACATGAAAAAATGGTGCTTGCCTCACTTGCAGTCTGCAGGAGCCAAAACCATTGTCGATTTTTGGGAAATGTCGAGAGAAGGGATGCATTCGATCATGTTCAGGCGATCTTGTTTGTATAGGATGAATATTGACAAGTGAAAATATAGTTGAACAAAGTAATGCAGTGATACATTTGTACATAAAATTACTGAATCGTTTCCCTGTTGTTCTTACTTCTATTCGTGATACCTTTTTTACTCTCCTTTGATTTCTCTTTAATTTCGTTCTACGTTTCTGGAATCTCAATGGTTACTGCATCAATTCGCTCCTTCATCCTCACTAGAAATGTGTTCCGCTTGAGCTCACGGTCAAAATCAAGATGAATTTGCTGTTTAAATAGAGACTCATAAATTTACCTCATCAACAACGAAAATCCATGGCTGAACTAACAAAATGCCCAATCAATGGAACCAAAATTTCAGTACAAAATTTGAATCATCATTGATTTGTTTGTTTTACAAAATTAGAACAAAAATTTCGGTAGTTGATTACATGAAGATCATTCTATACATAATCGTCATCGCTGTCATCATCATATTCAGAACCTGAATCGTCGCTCCTTGGTTCTGTGAGCGTATTCATATCAAACGATGGCAATGATTCCATCTCCTCCATGTCAATGGTGTCGTAGTCCATCCGTTGTGCAAACTTTTCATCAGAGCAATTGAGAAGCCATCCAAGGGAGCATTTCAACGCTTTCTTTGAAACCATCTTATGTCTTGGTTTTATAGTCGATTCCAGACCATAAGTAAAGAATGCTGGGAAAGCAACCAAGTCATCCAAAGGCCTTTGCATCTCTGTTTGAAAGAAATCAAAGCTGAGTTTCATGATGTCCAGATTCAAGGCAAGCAACTGGGGACACCCGACGACCATCTTCCTCACTTGCTCCAAGGAAAATCCACAATTCTTAAGGAAATCGACATGCTTCATCATAGGTCTATCACTGAGGCTAACAACTTGAGGCATCTTCTCAACAACTCTGCCAAAGTCCTCGGGATCCAAATCTATTACCGACTTGAGTGAACTTTGTTGACTGAGAAGCTTAGGCTTGAGATCAATTCCTATGATCTCAGGATACTGTGCCACTACAGAAGCAAGTGATTCTTCTCGAACACAAAACTCCAAAAGGGATTGAATATTCGGTTTCACCCTCTCCTCCAATCCAAACCCAAGGATGTGAGGACGCTTCTCTATCAGTCTAGCCACTCCCAGTCTAGGAATACCCAGCTTTTCGAGATACTCAACAAAAGGCTTGATCACCCTACCTACACGCATCCCTAAAATCTCAGGGTATCTAGTTAAAACTCCTCCAATCTCCCTTCTTGCAACCCCAATTCCAACTAAATAAGCCACCGAAGTGCTCATGGTCCCCTCGAGCTTGAATCCCAGCACTTCTGGATATTTCTCAAGAACCCGAGGAATGTCATCCGGTTTGATATCCATTCCTTGAAGATACTTGACCACTGGTGAAAGGTCAATAACAACACTAGCATGCAGGACTTGTGGATATCTTCTCAAGAACTCTGCGAATGTGGATTTCCTAACACCCAACTTCCCAAGATAATCGAGCACAGGAATCATGTTTTTCTTCACACTACAGCCTAGAACAAGTGGATAGTTGTTAATGTCTTCGACTGTAAGTCCCAGATTGTGAAGAAAATCCACACGTTCCCTCATAACTTCGACTGTAACAGGAAGCTCCAATCCATCAAGCTCATCAGGGATAATACCAATTCCTCGCAAGAAATCATAAACCCGGGCACGAATTTCCATCCTTTCATTCTTCATCTCTAAGAGACTAGGACGACTATATAAGGATGAAGAACCTCTATCTCTCCTACCTGCACGACTGGTGTTTGTATTTGAAACCGATGAATCCTTATAACTGGTTGCTGACCTTCTACCAGAAACAGAATACTGACACCTTGTCATCAACCCTATCAACTTCTCTCGATTGCAAAGCGTGGATATAGAAGTGAATTGGGGCTTAAGAGATGTAAGTACCGGTAACTCTGAATGCACAAGCAAAAAGCTGGGTTTCGTAATACCAGTATAGCATCTGATCTTCATACTTCCAGATTCAAAACTACCAACCCGCCTGCGAAAAACGAAGGGCTCAACTCAAATACATAGTAGTACCAATGCAGAGAACAACATGATAATCTTGTTCATCAAGGCACATCTACTAATACAAGAAGATAATAACAGTGAGTTATCATAGGCAAAAATTACTCAAATCTACTAATCCAACATGATTTTCTTACTTTCGAATGACGGACTAACAAACAAGATTCTAAAAGACACTAGGCGCTAGTTAGACAGTGGGTTAGGGCTTAGGGTCTAGACGGATTTAAGTAAATCTATTATATTTTGTGTAAATAAGTGTTTCTTTATACTTAGAATATATATAATTTTATCATAAACTACAAAATAAATTACAAAATAATATAACATATATAATATGAAGTACTGAAACATAATGAAAATATAGAGAATAATCATATAATGTATGGTTAATTAAGTATTTAACATGTTTCTTACAATTTATTAAAAAAAATAAAATGTAAATGAAAGTTATCTATTTTCTGTCTAAATGAGTCGCAAGAGGGTATGGGCGGGCTAGACGGACGCCTATGCGACCTAGGCGTCTCGGCAGATTTAGGTGCCATTTCTTAATTTTTAAACATTTAGGCATTAACCAGGCCGGTAACCAGCTGCCTGGTAATTTTTAGAACAGAGCTCACAAATTCTAATGAAATACAGCAGCCAAAAGACGGTTAATTTTCATTTCTGAGACAAATTTCTACAAAAATACATAAAAGAATACAAATTTCATATCTTAGGCACCAAAGAAAATTTGGGTTCTACCATTTACATCCAAAAATACATAAACCGAAGAATTTAGCTTTTTTTTCAGTAGGAAAAGCCGAACTGCAGAAAGTTTAGCTTCTTTCAAAAGCAGATAGTAAAAAGCCACTCATTACACAAAGTTGCAGAGAAGGAAGAAGAGAAAACTCAATTATCCATTTCTCGTATTTTCTCCATTTCGTCGGTGAAATGCTTGTTAACTTGAACAAAGTTGTAGAAAAGAAGAAGAAGAAGAAGAAGAAGAAGAAGAAGAAGAAAGAAGAAGCTGACCTGTTCGTGGAGTTGGCTCAGGCTGAGAATTGCTTAAGCTGCTTATCCAGAGAGCCGCTAAGATCAACCCATCAATGGCAGACAGCTCGAGCAGCAGCTGGGCAAACACTCTCGTCTCCTCATCCGGCTAAAGCTTAAAACCTTTTGCAAGAGGATTTGGTCTTGGACTCTTGTATGCCTCATCCCTCATAAAAGTGATTTTGGGCCTAAAAGTGCTTTTGGGCCTGCTGCAACCCAACAATAAATTAAAGAATAAAGTTACTCGGCGTTCCTCATGAAAGAATCAGAGAAAGTAGAAGTTGTGGAAGGAGCGAGAAAATGGCAGGGCCTTCTTCGCTTACTATCTTCTTCTTCAGCTTGCTGTTCTTCTCTGCAGTATCTGAAGCTTCCAAATGCTCACTCAAAGGTAACAGGTCCTTCTTAATCTTTCATGAATTTACACAAATCGTGCTTCAAATCTTTTTTTTTTTTTTTCATCAAAGAGTGTTAGTAGTTGTTTTCTTGATCATTGGTTTATGGTTAATGATCGTTTGATTCATGATTAATGTCTCTAATGGTGTTTGATTCTGTATTTTCTGGGAATTTTGAGACTGCCCAAGTGGTGAAATCTTCCATCTTCTTATATCCTTCGGATTGTGGGTAATATGCTTGTTAATGATATAGATTAAGCTAATTAACTATTAATTGCTAGTGTATATGAGTTTGTTTGGAAGTGCATTTAGAATGGGTGAAAGCGTTTTTGGCGAAAATGTTTCTGGACTCAAATCTTAATAAAAATGCAATTGAACTTCAAGTCCTTTTGGAATCCAAAAACATTTTCTTTAAAAGCGTTTTCAATCATTTTAAAAGCACTTCCAAATGAGCATTTGATTCATAATTAATGTCTCTAATGGTGTTTGGTTCTGTTTTCTTCCCTTCTTGAACTTGATGTTTTGGTTGTTTCCTGGGAATTTTGTGCTTGCCCACATGGTGAAATCTTCGACTCTCTTATATCCTTCGGGTTGTGGGTAATATGCTTAATAATGTTGTGGATTAAGCTAATTAATTAACTATTATATTGCTTAAAATGTATATGTTGGATGCAGGATTACCTCTAGTAAGAAATATAAGTGAGCTTCCACAGAATAACTATGGAAGGGCGGGTTTGGCACACACAACTGTTGCTGGTTCACTCTTGCACGGGTTGAAAGAGGTATATCCGTTCCACCATTCGCTTGAGAATTTATTGTTCTTGTGATCTTAGTGGCTTAGAGGACTATAGTCTACACCATTTGATTTGCAAAATGACCTCAAGCAAGATTTCACTGAAAGTTGTCCGATAATATACTCGTGTATATGTGCTGTCATCTTAAACCGTCTATATCTAAAACTTCTTGTCCTTCGATGTGCCTTGGACATTGTAGATCATACTTTGCGATGAACAAGTTATGAATTCGAGAATTTTTTGGGGGGGACGTATATATGATAGAGTTATCGGGTTCACAGGTTGAGGTATGGCTACAAACATTTGCTCCAGGATCAGGCACACCAATACACAGGCATTCTTGTGAAGAAGTTTTTGTTGTCCTAAAGGGAAGTGGAACTCTTTACCTTGCACCGAGCTCGCACGAGAAGTTCCCTGGAAAGCCACAAGAGTTCTCTATCTTTGCAAATAGCACATTTCACATACCTGTTAACGATGCTCACCAGGTAAACCTAAGCATTCTACACTTAATATGTTTTATTTTTCTCCGATAGGCAATTCACAACTTACCCGTTGCTTTGCAGGTCCGGAATACAAATGAACATGAGGATTTGCAAGTGCTTGTCACCATATCTCGTCCGCCAGTTAAAGTGTATGCAATCCACCTTCTTTCATCTTCTATGTTTAATATCATCTATTACTTCTTCAACTTCAGTCCGATATCAAATAGAGCACCATGATATGCAGATGCAATTCTTTCGCGTTCTCATGCCAGATTATTTGTTTCTTCTTTTTCGGATTTTAAAGAACGGTGAATGATACTTCCACCCTTGGTTTCAACTTTCAGGTTCATATATGAGGACTGGTTCATGCCTCACACTGCTGCAAAGTTGAAGTACCCCTACTTTTGGGACGAAGAATGCCTTGAAGTTGAATCGCCGCCAAAGGATGAGCTATGATATCTTAGAAACGTCGCATAAAACCGTTGTAAATCATCTAATCTTGTTGTCGTTCGCAAAAAGGCATGGAGTTTGTAGAGTTTTAAGTTTTCAGATACACACTGTATTTGTACTTTGTAGCAAAATCTCACAGATGTTAATTGGGATGATTGCAAGCGAGGTTCCGCAATTCGCAAAATGGCAAGTAATTGGGATGATAGACGGACGAAAGTTATGACACCCGTAGCGATTTCGAACGATAAAAAATTTCTGTTTACTGATACAAAGGTATAAGATATGAAGAGATGAGAACACAGTTACAGGAAGGACTCCTCTTGACCACAGATTACATAAGTTAGACAACAAATCGTCACTTCTTTTTAGTCATGCTTCGCCGTACAGCCTCCTTTTCTGCAACCAGAACACAAAACTCTGCGCCGAGCATTTCATGTATAGCAACATTTATCGAACTGCTCAAATCAACCGTCTCCATGATCACTTCTACGGTAATACTGAAGCCTAATGTAGACAATGCGCGGATAGCATTTGCAGTTCTGCATATGTTCTCTCTTGTCTGTTGCGGAGTGTAGTTTTTCTCCTGATCTTCGGGACTAATGGAATTTTTATCGGCTTTGGTATCATGTTGTTCAGACTTGTGATCCACTAGCATATCGTCGGTAACTTCAACATGTTCACCAACCCAGATGAAACCGTTACAGCCAAGTATCAGGTCAATGCCATAGTTTTCTAGATGATGGAAGTGCTGCTTTCGTCGTTTCACTAGATAAGAAGGAACTGTGAGCAACTGACCCCTTCCAAGCTGCAAAGCAGGTTAAAATCATTGTGAGAAATACTAACAAATAACGGATAATGCCTGAACAAAATGTTCAGAAGCATCCTTCTAAAAGTTAACGAATTATATAGAAGACAAACCTTTCCATACTTCTGACTTCTTGCTTGGAGATGTAAACCATCATGTTGGAAACCACGAACTTCAGCCTGGAAAAGGGAAAGTATTTGTAACAATGGATCAAGTCTTAATTTGTTCCTTTTTTCTATTCAATTAGGCCAGTAATACATGTTACATGACTTACACAAATGACATCATTCTCTTCAAAAATGCTGCGCATGTTGAGTTCATCCAGGGCAGTTCGGCGCCTCTAGCAATTGAAAGAGTGAAACTTAAATGAGGGATTGTAACGCAACATTTACAGTAGTGGAAAATCCAAATTGAATCCGAACATGTTTCTATTTCAAGAGTGGATGGCGGAAATACGTGACTTCTATTGAAAAGGGGTTCAAATTATCTAAATAAAATAGAATATAAGGGTTCTGTAGCGTTCAGATTGATAAACAAAAATTCAAACAAAGAAAATCTAGATCATCTAACAGATTTATATACAGCTATATGAATCCATAGAACAGAATTCCACGCTCTGTGTCAAATATGTCTAACTGTAAAATTGGCATTCCCTTGTTCCATCTCAAGGTTATCTTTGTCACTAATCAACAAAACTGTAAACAGTGGACAATCTACTGAACGACGAACCAGTTAGCATTCTTCTTGAAAGTGTTTTACACCACTCCGACTCACTTATTTAGCAACACTATGAATTGCATATCTGGTAAAAGAAAGTTATAACTACTGATGCTTGCTGCCAACTTGGGCTAACAGTTATACCTGTATGCCGTCAGGTAAGTTCATCGAAGAAAGCATCAACACTGCATCATGGCTATAGTTTATCTCCACTCTCCAACGCTTCGGAGCAACCTAAACCATAATTTATCACAAGATCACAAAAAAGACTCATAAAACCAAATGTTTCTCAACAAAGAAAGCAAATCATCAATAATCGAACTTTCGATAAAATTAATCGAATTGTAGTTCAGCATTCCTGTTTTCACCTCAATAACACGCCCCACTATGATATCTCCAACCTCTGGTTTGTACCTTAATTTATTTTCAAAAATTCCATAAGCCCCAAATGATTAAAATTTCAACAAAAATTAACTAAAAACCAAAAAAATTAACACTTAATTAGTAAGTACCTGGCCCTTAAAGAACGCACATAAACCAGCTTATTGACTCTCTCGACGACGCCGCAAACCGTCGCAACAACTTCCCCATTGACCTCAGAGGTCCCATGTCCCCTGAATTCACAAAAATCCGAGACACCCATAAATTATTTTACACTTGGATAAAAATTTGAAGAAAACCCAAGTCGAAAATCCCAAAATCAGAGCATTATGGAGAGAGATAGAGAGAGACGTACTTGAGAAGGCCGTCTTCGTAGTTAACGGGGATGGAATCAGCGACGGTGACGGAAGCGTTGGAATTGGCCTTTGAAGCCAAAGACTCGAGCTTTTCGAGAGCTCTCTGCAGCCGGACCTTCTGGGTTTGGTTCAGCGAAAGCTGTAAATCTTTCATCTTTCTCGCTGTGGAAGAGAGAGAGAGAGAGAGAAAGGAGAAAAACCCTGAACCCTAGCCTGAGTTTTTAGACCATTGCATGGATTTGGGAAGCAATGAATGGGGCTAACATTTTAAGGCCCATTAAAAAAATGATGAAAGTAAGCCCACATTAGAATGGGATCATTGGGCCTCGTTAGAAAAGATTTTTCACGAAATACGACCAATAGACTACGTGTAATAATACAGTTAGTTAGAAACTTGAGAAAGAATTCAACCAATTATATTATGATAATTAGTGTACCGGACCGTATTACCGGCATCAAAAATTTTGCAGATCCCAAACTTGGTATCGTGATCTTAAGTAGAAGACCTAAACAACTATATAGATCACAGCAGAAAAAATAGGGTCAAGATTCGAGTTCGTTTACTAACTTATTATACTTGGGAATTTAGCATGCAACTTGAAAATTTGCCCTTTCGGCAAGCAGGAAAAAAAAATAAAAAATAAAAAAAACTTGAAAATTGCCTTTTCTTTGTTCACATCATTGAAGAAACTTGACGTCCATGAATTTAAATGTCAATTACACATGAAAAAAGAAAAAAAAATGCAAAAATTCGAGTTCAAATATTTTGCAATCAAAGTTTTTGGTGGCTTCTCTCTGCCCTATTTACTTGAGTGACAGGTGTTCTTTTTAACTTAATTTATATTTATTTTTTTATTAAAGAGATAAGTTGAAGAGTTAAACATTGTTGAGTGAACTTTAAATAAATAGCCAGATGTAAACAAATAAAATAGATCACAGAGAAACCACATAGATTTTTGAATGCAGAAGATTTGATCTCCAAAATTTCCATTAAAAAAAATATTTCATTTTTTTTTTTTTAACAAACGATATTTCCCTTTTAAAGAGGCAGAAAAATATGAAAGGTAATATAAAACTGCCTAAAATAATATCAAGAAAGTGAATGCATCAAGCAAACAATAATAATTTTGGATAATATAATAGTATAATTGCCTTGCTATATTTTGTTACATGGGGTCGTACGTATAACCTAATTACCTAACCTTGTTACAAAAACCAAATCCCCCTCTTTCTCTTCCTCCGAGTAATCTTCTCTTCCTCACAATCCCACCGACCTGCCTCCTCCCCCCAAATTTTTGTTATATCAATCATTAACCTCTAACCTCTCCCCTAAACCTTCTCTCAACCAGCCTATGGCCACCACTCTCCCTGGTCCTCCTCTTCTTCCTTGATCCCCTCCACCACCTTTTTCTACCATCAAGGGCAGGATGGCCGTCTCATCGACATCTCATGGCCTCCTGTCTATCCTCCTCCTCATCCTCATCCACCTTCTCGTCTTCCTCCATTGCCCCACCCATGTTGCTGCCACCACAGGCATCCGCCTTGGCATCATCAGGAAACCTTCTCCGAATGTTGCCATCTTTCGAGAAGCACCAGCTTTCCAAAACATGGATGCCTGCGAGCATGCAGAGAAAATTCACATTGCTATGACACTAGACTCCAATTACCTAAGAGGTACCATGGCGGCCATGCTTTCAATACTACAGCACTCGATGTGCCCAGGGATTGTTGAGTTCCACTTTCTCTGGGCACGGTTCGACCCCGAGGTGCTCTCCAACATCCAATCCACCTTCCCCTACCTCAACTTCAATGTCTACCGCTTCGATTCGAATAGGGTACGTGGGAAAATATCAAAGTCGATACGCCAAGCCTTGGACCAACCCTTAAACTATGCACGTATTTACCTAGCCGACATACTTCCAGTTGATGTGAAGAGGGTTCTATACCTAGACTCGGACCTTGTGGTTGTGGATGACGTGGCAAAGTTATGGAAGGTTGACTTGCAAGGCAAGGTATTGGCAGCGCCAGAATATTGCCATGCAAACTTCACCCAATATTTCACAAAATCGTTCTGGTCCGACAGTGAAATGTCCAAAACGTTTGAGGGCAGAAATCCTTGCTATTTCAACACAGGGGTGATGGTGGTGGATGTGGATAAATGGAGACAAGGTGAGTGCACTAAGAAAATGGAGGAGTGGATGGTGGTGCAGAAGCAAAAGCGAATTTACCATTTGGGGTCTTTGCCGCCATTTTTGTTGGTTTTGGCGGGAGACATCACAGCCGTTCATCACAGGTGGAATCAACATGGACTCGGTGGGGACAATCTCGAAGGCAAGTGTAGGAGTTTGCATCCTGGCCCTATAAGCCTATTGCATTGGAGTGGGAAGGGCAAACCCTGGTTGAGGTTAGATTCAAGAAAGCCCTGCACCGTTGATCATCTGTGGGCCCCCTATGATCTCTACCGTTCATCAGCTCATCATTTTGAAGAATGAGATGATGAGATCAATGGTGGGAAAAGCAAGAAGGTGAAAAATAGTTTTGGACTATGAAATTTGGGTCAGTGGGGATAAGGGAGTTTGATTAACTAGAAGAGCAAGAAGGTGAAAAAAACGGTCAATGGGTAGGTTGCTATCCTTTTTCTTTTTACCCTTTGATTTTTATCTTAGACCAAGTAAAAAAAATAAAGGAAAAGTATAGAAAGGAAAGTAAAACTGTGGGGAGTAAACTAATTTGGGTTAAGGCTGGTTAATTGCAAGTAGGGCATATTTCGTACTTAGAGGAAACACATGGAGGAGGAAGAAGACCACATAATGTTATCAGCATAGCTTTTGACCGCCGGAAGATCCTCTTACCAGAGTTTTATGGCGGCCCTCAACAGTATTTGTTTAAATACGAAATTATGTCTCCAAATCCAGTTTAGTGTATAATTAAGTTTATTTAGCCTAACAATTTGTTGATACATCGTTGTTTTTTCATTTTTAATATAGTTTTTCTTGTACTTCTTGTAGCATCTTATAGTTTGATGAGATGAAGCAATTGAGACTCCAAAATTACTTAAAAAACTAACTCTTTCTACCACCAAACAAGGTTACCAATGCCGAAATTTTGATGGAAGTCTCTTGGCAATTTCAAATTATCCAGTCTCGGATATCCCATCCACATCAATTTTCTGATTTTTTGTTTTTTTGTTACATATGATTCTTTTTCCTCGTGGTTTCAGAGACCCGATGGTCACACTGAACAGATTTAACCACACCTTCTTATCGAGAAATTTAAAAAATTTCAATGTAGGTGACAAAATCACATAATGTTCTTAATTCAAATGTTATCATTTGAGTGGACGACCAAATTGACAAAACTAATTAATCAAATTAACATGTCATGCAAACATGAGTTTAGCTGAGTTCGTTATAGCAATGTACGTCACCCTCTGTGCTTAACTTTGAATCCTCTTCTTCATAATTTAGATAAAATTATTGTAATCAGTCTATCGTTTGTTAAAAAAAAAAAAAGACATCAAATCAAACATGTCATGCTAGTTATACGCAACAATTTCTCCTAATTGAAAAAGTAATGAGTTATATAATCCACATTATTCTCCCAATTTATCATCCTATTTTGCTCATCGCCAAACTCCTTTTAATAAAAACTTTAATTGCAAATGCTGCTCTTTACATGTACAAATTTACTTTTTTTTCTTCTTCTTAATTTACATGTATAAAACTACTTTGAAAAGCTAAAGTGCATAATAACCAGTACAGTACATAGTTTTGACAATAGCCATTCCAACCTTTAGGAAGCTCTTTGCGACTACCTAATAGTCTCAGTAATTGTAAACTTGCAACTCCGACGAGCCACCGCGCCAACCGCCACATGACATATTTGTCGGGCTAAGACTTCCTCGGCTCAATGCCATAGTTCCTCCCCATAGCTTCCTTTCTGCTCTGAATAAACGCTTCTGATTTTTCGTTTATGTTTGGAGCAATGTGAAAAAGTGGCCTTACGCGCCGCCTTAACGCAATCTTTGATCCTTTATCATCATCTTCTATCTCCATTGCTAGTGTCAACTTTTCGCCACCCATTACACCCTTTCCTTTCTTCATACTATTTTTCTCCTTATCTGGTTTCGGTACATCTTTAATGCTCAAAACCTTCGTCAGGTTGCCCTTGTGTTCGGAAACATTGGCCTTCACTGGATCACCTAACTTGTCAATATGCGTCCACGATTCAAAGCCATCGGTTTGCTTGTAGTGAACTTGAATCTGAAGACCAGAATCCTTCTCCGGCGTCTGGCTAGCCTCATGATGGTCCATTGTCTCAACCCCTTTAGGGTTAGCAGGTGGAATCATAGGCTGTTCGTCTTGATCAGGCATCGGATGGCCTAACATTACTTGCTTAACAAGGAGTCTACCGACCAGGCTATTCACAATGAAGGTGAAGATCCTGTGGCAAATGCCAGTAGGCTCGGTGCGGTTGAGCTTCTCCTGCATTGTTTAATTTCGAATGAGAAGCTAGATTTAAAGACGAGCTCCGACGGAGGCTGGGGATGAAGGTTTAGATGGAATGTTTGGGGATGAAGATTATTTATGTGCACCGAACAAACTGCAAAGTCATTTGGATGTGTGATTCCATGCTTGGAAATGTGGTAATGAAAAGTAGGAAAGAAAGAATGTTATAACTTTGATGGAAGAACTAATACTAGTTTTGTCTTGTAATCCAACCCAAGGGGCGAAGATAAGACAAACTTTATCTCCTTAAGCGGGGTTCGAATGTATGAGTCCTAAAACATCATTACACTGGTTTTATGTCAAATATTCTGTTAGCTCCAATTGGGGGAAGATAAGATAATATGTTAAATTCCTTCGATAGGACTTTGGTACGAAGCAAAAGCAACTTGCAAGAATATCATAGGGAAATTCATATGATACCATGCATTTGGAGAGAGCTAGTATTTTACTTTGCTTGCAATCACTTTTATTCGAAAACAGCAACCCCTCTTGATTTTTACACACTTCAGGATGAGTTTTGGTTCTTTCACGTTCGGCTGGCATAATCGGGAACTTGAAAGAATCAACTCAACCAGAGTGTTAATAAACTTGAATGAACGTCACCGGAAGCTCATGTGCACCGGCAAATACTAGGATAAACACTTACAATACTCCGCCGTAGTATTCGACATTGAATTTTAGAGCCCAAAACTTAGCCAAAACGAAGTGCATGCCTGAACATCTATAGAAAGTCTTGTATAATTTTTAGGAATCATATAAATGAAATGAGACATGGGCGGAGCCATTATAAAAAATTTCGAGTGTTACCAAGAAAACTTCAAGCTCATATTGGTCATGGGTCGAGGATGAAATTGAACTATATGATATCTCCCATAACCCACAAACATATGGGAAAGATCTGACATGAAGGTGTCACACCTTCGTGACGATGTGAGTTTCGATTAGCGTGTTATTCATAGAATTACTTTTAAATATTGTTTTTATTTTTTATTTTTTTTTAATACAGTGATGTGTTTACACAAAGGAGGTAGGGGACTTGGTTAAGCCACACATTGCCATAATAACTTCGTCCAAATTCACCTTTGATAAGAATCGAATCTAACACAACTTATTTACAAGTGAAAAACAATACCCATAATCTATTGGGCGATGCCTGTTTTAATTGGAAAGGGATCCTCTCTAAATTTATTCCTCCTAATTCATCAAGTCCAAGGATCCGAGTCGTTGAAATTTGATTCAAGTTCCAACGGCTATAAACATAAGGCCATTTTAAAAGATATAAGTTGGATCAAATTTTAATGGTCCGGATCTTCGAACTTGGTGGATTTGAAGAAAGGAATCCGGAGAGGATTCCTTTCTGTTTTAATCAGACGGATCACTACTTTCGATGTTCATCCCTGCTTGTCACGTGGGTCTTGCTCAATGTTGGGTCTATAAAAAAGTATTGGGCCAATAATCCATACTTTATTTTGGGGCCATATCCATAGTTAAAGCCCAAACACCCAGCTAGACATTGACCACCCACCTCACTGATTCGAACTACACTTCAAGCGCACGTTAACGTCCCTAAATTTCCAGTTTCTCACTCTACTCCAACCCCTCTCTCTCTCTCTCTTCCAAATTTTCTGGTAAATCCCAATCCCTCTGCTTTCCCAATTTTTTCCTCCATGAATTTCTTCAAATCCGTATTCTCCGACGACCCAGATCCCCCAAACCCCGAACCCGAATCCGAATCCGAAACCGGGTCTCCCAACAACCCAGAACAAGAACACCCAGATCCGAAGTCCCCACCGACACAACCCAATCCAAACCCGACCGGCAACACCGGCGCGTGGATGTTCGGCGATCTGATCAAAACGCTATCGACCAGATCCGAGTCGGTGATCGAGACCTACCGCCGCGACCTGCAAGAATTCGGGTTGGGTCTGAAGAAAGAGATCGAGGTGGCTCAGGGGTCGTTGGAGACGGTGGGGCACGTCATCGATGAGTTCGGGAACACAGTGCTTCAAGGGACGGCCCAGATCCTCGCCGGCGACGAATCGGATTCCTCCGACGCCAAAGACCAAAGCTTTAGCTCTCAGCAGAGCATGAATTCGAAACGGTACAGTAGGTTTGACGCTCAGGTGCGTGCGATTCAGGGTGACGCTAGCACTTACTGTGAGGAGCCTGAGGATTTGGATGATTACGGAAAATGGCAATCTGGGTTCGATTTGGAGGAGAAAGGTGAAGAAATTGAGAGGCTTGTAGAAGAAAACGGAGCTGTGGAGGGGATTTACAAAAGCGTTGTTCCGAACAGCGTTGATCACGAAAGCTTTTGGTGTAGGTACTTTTATAGGGTTTATAAGCTGAGGCAGGCTGAGGATGTGAGAGTGAATCTCGTTAAGCGGGCGATTTCGATCGAGGAGGATGAGGAGTTGAGTTGGGATGTTGATGATGATGAGTATGATGACAATGTGAACAATGTGGTATTGAAAGTGAATCCGGTGAAAAGTACTGAAGTGGCTGCTGAAAGTTCTGGCAAAGATGGGAAAGTTGAGGACTTGAAGGTTGGGAATGAGGTTGGAGAGAAGAGTTCCAATAATATGGGAGAGGGGAGCTGTGTTGTTGAAGAGGCGAATGTGGTGTCGAAGAAGGATGATTTAGCTGCGAATAGTGAACTGGTCAGCAAAGGTTCTGAGCAGAAGGTTGTTCAGGAAGAGAGTAGCTCCGTTGGGGAATCTCAAATTGTCGAGAAGAAGGGTAATGATGTGGAGTTGAGTGGTGATAAGGGGTCTGAAAAGAAAATGCAAGTAGAAGGGGATTCCGGGAAAAAAGATTTACCATCGAAATTGGAGGAGAAAGGGGCGGTGGAAGGGAAGAAGAATGTAGCTGCCGGTAAAGGCCGTGTTGTTGAAGAAGCAAATGTGGTGTCGAAGAAGGATGATTTAGCTCCAAATAGCGAACTGGTCAGCAAAGTTTCTGAGCAGAAGGTTGTTAAGGAAGAGAGTAGCTCTGTTGGGGAATCTCAAATTGTTGAAAAGAAGGGTAAGGATGTGGAGTTGAGTGGTGGTAAGGAGTCCGAAAAGAAAATGCAGGTAGAAAGGGATTCCACGAAGAAAGACGTGCCATCAAAATTGGAGGGGAAAGCGGTAGTGGAAGGGAAGAAGAATGGGGTTGCTGAATCCGGTAAAGGCAATGATGTTCCGGCGGTTTCAATCAAGTCCTCGACGCCGGAGGAAGAAGACCTTGGATGGGATGAGATTGAGGATCTTAGCAGCATTGATGATAAAGAAGTTGGCCATGGTGGTGGAAGTGGAAGTCCTACTAACAAAGCCGAGCTCCGAAAGCGGCTCAGTACTGCTGCTGCTGAAGAAGAAGAAGATTTAAGCTGGGATATTGAGGATGATGATGATGTAACAGCTCAAGCTTGAGTAGCAAGTAAATTAGAGGGTTCTTGGTTCTTAAATTTAGTGCACGAAATTATTATGTACTCCCCCAATTTGTTCTTGGAAGTGTGATATATGTAAAGGGGGATTCTTTTAAAAAAAATCCCTGTTATTTTATCAGTTGGTTTAAAATGCAAATAGATTCCTTTATATCTGTAATTTGTGATGTTAAATCAGCCAGCCTTGTCTATAAAAGTATTCAATTTCATTAATTTGTGGATTTTTACCATTACTTAGCAAAATCTTAAGATGATGTTGGATAATAACTCGGGGTAGGAGCGTCTAACTACGTCGGTCATAGTGCAGAAACATGAGACTTTCTGTGTTTTGGTGCCACCTGCTCACTCTTAATCCACCCGGTATGAGAGATGCTCTAATCAGAAGTCCTTTAACAAACATCATCAACCAGAAGCACGAGACTCCTTGCGTTGCGGCCGCACCCCCTCACTCCTGTTCCATCCAATGTGAGAGATGCTCTAATCAGAAGTTCTTCGACAAACATCATCAACCAAAAGAATGAGACTTCTTGCGTTTCGGTCTCACCTACTCACTCTTGTTCCACCCAGTATGAGAGATGCTCTAATCAGAAGTCCTCTAACAAACATCATCAACCAAAAGCACGAGACTTCCTGCGTTTCGGTCCCCCCTCCTCAATCTTGTTCCACCCGGTGTGGGAGATGCTTTAGTCAGGAGTTCTCCGACAAACATCATCAACCAAAAGCACGAGACTTCTTGCGTTTCAGCCGCACCCCCTCACTCCTGTTCCATCCAATGTGAGAGATGCTCTAATAAGAAGTTCTTCGACAAACATCATCAACCAAAAGAATGAGACTTCTTGCATTTCGGTCTCACCTGCTCACTCTTGTTCCACCTAGTATGAGAGATGCTCTAATCAGAAGTCCTCTAACAAACATCATCAACCAAAAGCATGAGACTTCCTGCGTTTCGGTCCCCCCTCCTCACTCTTGTTCCACCCGGTGTGGGAGATGCTTTAGTCAGGAGTTCTCCGACAAACATCATCAACCAAAAGCACGAGACTTCTTGCGTTTCGGTCTCACCTGCTCACTCTTGTTCCACCCGGTGTGAGAGATGCTCTAATCAGAAGTTCTCCGACAAACATCATCATTTAAAGACAAACACGTCCGTAGAAGATCAGGAGGTTTCCCGAACCACAGACACTCCGAATCACGTGCTAGATCTATTTATGAAGCGCGGTTTTCACGTTTTGAATGTGAATTATATGCAGTTCCCTCTCATCCAAAAGAAAGTCTCTTGCATTTGCATATGCTTGTAGCTTTTATACGCCTAACGCCCCTTCTTCTGTTGACTCCTTGGTGCAGTTCCTGTAAAAGAAAGTCTCGCGTTTTGGTTTCAATGTAATGGCTCTGAATTCGTACGAGACTTAAAACTTGAGTGGTTTAGTGCATTAATCCTGTCACCGAAAGTTGTGTGTTTGTATCCACTTCACCTAAATATCGCTTGTATAAAAATATTACCACTACGTATCACTCCATTTTTCGGAAACTGAAAACGTAATACAAAATAATTCAACCTATCTATGAAAAACTTATAACATAATACAAAATTCAGCTCCTTTTACTTGAGCTAAAATTCACACCCCACAAACTTGATACTCTTACTAACTACGAAGGCCGTACACCATCCAATAAAAAAGTACTGTAATCACCCCTGCAACCTTAATCTTACTGAGACAAAAGAAGCGAAAACAAATCGAAAAAAAAAAACGGACTCTTCTAACAGCACCGAGGCTCTGTTTGTACATCAAGAAAAGACTCGTGTAGAACACAAATGCAAACGTGAACGTTATGCTGATTCATATCGTTGTTGGACCCAGGGCTGCCTCTGACTAACTTCGGATCTTCGTTCTTCCATTAGACACTGATGCCGGGCTCAGAACTGGACTCTGCAGGGGAAGGGAGTGCCATAAGCCGTCCCTTTTGGGCGCGAGGTGGGAGATGCTTTGCTGGTTTTCTTGATCCCATGGTCCAGGGCAAGAAAACCCCTGTACCACTTTGAGGGACTTTTTGAGGGCTCAATACCATAGGACGAACGGGGGCTACCATGACTACTGGAGCACGAAGGACACCCCATTTGGGCATCACATCCATTGTCTCGTAACCATTGGGAGCTGCTCCATCTGGCATCGTGTATGGGCTTACCATCCCGGGTTGCCATAGAGTCATGGCACCATTGTTTGTTGGACTTTGGGGCGACTGGAACTGGTTGGAGTCTACTCGGACTCTGAAGAAAGTGATGCTCACCCTTCTGTTAGGAGATGGACACATCACGTGTCGTGACATGTCAGCACTGTTTCCCCTCATGACTAAAAGGGACCTGCAGAAGTTAAACATTAACGTTTGCGCTTTTCAACCACCGTGAAAAGATAAGTCAAGCTGAAAGAACTAAGAATACGTACCCTTGTTTCAGTGATAGCATCAGCGGCCCCTTGTAGTTCCCATCATTATCGCTCAGAAGGGTGCGCCCGAAAGCCATTGCTGATTCAGAGAGGAGAAGAGTGGCGATGGGCTGGTCCAAATGCGGTGGTTTCAGGAATGGCTGTGAATATTCTCCCTACAAAATAAATGATTGCAATTAAAACCGTTTCTCTCTTAAATTAAAAAGAAAGTGCATAAACAAAGACTTATAACACAAACTAATGCCGCGAAGCGCCCTCTTTGCAGCTATGTTCTAGTAAACAATAACACAGGCGGTATCATGACAATGCAGCAAGCAAAACATAGAATACCTCCTCAAAGAAGTTGATCATGCAACCATTCGGTCGTTTATACTCCGGAATTAGCTGCCATAGTACAAAGTGATCAATCACATCTTCGAGAAGAGCTGGAATCGGCACTATATTGCCTATAAACACAAGAAAACAAATTAAAGTTAGTTTCGGTATTTAGTATGCAATGCATAGAAATGAATCGCTGATAATAAGACATTGTCCAAAATTTGACAAACTAAACTAAATGACATATAAAATAGTTGAAGTATGCATTACTAGTTTCGGTTATTACTTGTAGTATCCTCCTTGATCTGCCCGAAAATTGGAACGCCAAACTGAATAAGCTCTCTCCTGTTTCCCTTAACCTGCTTGTTGAACAAAATGAAGGTCTCGCCTGTATTCAATCAAGAAGATAACTTATAGTAGCCTTTCCTATGTTAAAAAAAACGAGTTAGCCTCAATAAAGCTACATGGAAAGTTTCGCATTCAAACTTCGGAAGCCAATTTTTTTAAGAACAAATGAATTACTACAATTATCTCCATTACACAAAACGACGTAATAGAACAATATATGAGACCAAAATAAGATACAACCCAGGATGAGACAAGGGTTCCTTTACCTGAGAGCTCTCCATTAATTCCAGCCGCGTGGAGATCATTTACAAGGTCAGTCAATTTGCAGAGCTCAGTGTCAGCGAATATGTCCTCATATAGCTTCAACCCTTTCACAACATTCACCTGCCAGTGCGGTCATCTGCTAGTCAGTAATAACTACCTGATTTTTTTTACCAGAATATACAGCATATCAACTCTTTGACTTCTATCTTACGAGTGACATTAGATTGAGGAAGAACTCACCATATGCCCTTTGACCGACTCCTTTGCTGAGAAACCTTTAGTCAATTTGATCTGGGTACGACGTGCCTCACACTCATCATGATTAGAGCATATTTCCTCGTTTACTGAATTGAGCTGCGCTTCTTGTGAACCTGCAGTAAAAGCAGAAGGTAATCAAATCGTTAAAAAGAATGCATTCTATAATCAAATGAGTTCACTAGCAAAAATCTATGTTAATCTGATGGATAACCGATAAACAATAGCCTGTCGACTGATCCAAAAAACAGTTGGTTATATTGTACCGAAGTCAGCTAGAGTATAATTAACGAACTAGCATTTATCGAACTATGCCAAAATAGCTATCATACAGAAATGATGCAAAGTTTCTATCAAATCCGAGTCTACGAACATTGGATTTGCAATAAATCACTGATAAGCATGTATTGTACGCAATCCTTTTGAAACAGAACAGAACAAGAGTGTTTTTTTACTGTCAATATCGTAAATTATGCATAATCTTCTCTACATATCGATTTAACTGTTAAGTACTGTGAATTAGGAGGTACATAAAATTTTGAATAAGCTTCAGATGATGCATTTGTGGAATGTAAATCTTCATCACAATTTCTAAAACATAAAAATGGAGATATGGGCATTTTATTCCCAATATGCCAATGCTTCCACCTGCCGCTCATAAGTGCTTTTACAAAAAGCAAAAGCTATCCCTACTCACCGCGCACAACCAAATAGGCCGGACACAGTAACAAACAATTAAACAGTATAAGCATAGAGAATATCGGAACCTTAAACAGCTGATCCGGCTGTCCAAACATAATGATACCCCAGCCGGTTGGTAATTCGGCAGCATGATACACTACTCGAAACTTATACGAATATAGGAACGAGGTGTGCAGATTAACACACGTCGAATCTAGTTGGTATGTCCAAATAAATAAAAAAAAGGGTACAAGTGGGTACATGTAGTATTACATTACTATTTCATATCGTTTTGTGTGTTAATCAAAAGTAAATTGGCACAATCATAAACAAAAATTAAAGAGAATTTTAACGAAATACTTTCGGTACCGTTTACTTTAAGGAAAAATGACAATTTTACTTTAAAAAATCACTCATGGTACTATTCACTTAACACTTTTTGTTATTTTGATTAAAACTCAAAATTTTCAAATTCATTTTATTAGTTTTCGTAAAAATTAAAATGCTAAACCCAAACGCAATTCATTGCCAACTTAACCCCTGGCTTGCCCCGAAACTCGGTATTATCAACCTAGCCGGGCCCATAGCAAGCTGGGCCCCACACCATAATAATTAATTTTAATGTTGGGATGACCACCCAAACTTTTGTCAAAGAGCACCTGCCAACCCAGATTGAACCAACAAACCAAACGCAACCCGTGACGTCAGCGGCTATGATCAGGCGCCGCCTACCCTTGAAATCAAACGGCACGCTTCTCGAGCGCCCAACTAACTCTCACACCGGTTGCATCCAAACTTTTTCCTTCACCACACCACCTCGAAAATCTGAAATCCCCGCTAAAACCTCGGGAAAACGATTCCAGCCACACTAAATTATTTTTTTACCTTTTAATTTTTAATTTCTTCAAATTAATTTTTTTTTTTTTTGGAAATTAAAAAGATATAATTAATAATAAAGAGAGATTAGTTAAGCCGGAAAATTAGAAGCATAAACAAACAGACTCTATTAAAAATCTGACTCTCCTGCCACCTTTATTTTTGACATAATTTTTGTGATAATATTATAAAATACTGTACCAAAATATGTAGTAGTTGACAATCTTACAAAAATCTCACATTAAGACAATCTCCTGAACGTTTTCTTAAACGTAAAAAAACGCAACGTTGAATTCAAAGCAGAGAAAATGGAAAACAGGGTTTTCAATCTCCAAGTAGAGGAAATGGAAAGCGACGTTTTGAATTTTACCTATTTCCAAAAATAAGTCTTGAATCACGGATCTGGGGGAATGAAAAACATGTTGCTCCTAAAATAATGGACAAAAAAAAAAAAGTAGTTTTCCTTATAATTAAAATAATATATCTTTTTGTAATCACAAAAATATCTAATAAAATTATATTTTATTTTCTCGGATACCAAACAGGAGAGGAAAAGCCCTTTAGATTCCAAACAAGTTTATTTCTTTTCTTTTCTTTTTTTCTCACTAACCAAACGGACCTAACGCTTCGTAAAACCAGAAAAATAGAACTTTCTCAGCTACAGCTACGTAGCTTAAATTGGAATTTCAAACACAACTGAATCCCGATTAAAAATTTATCAAAAAATCGAATTCGATTCATATCAAATTTCAGAATTTAATATTAAAAATTCAACCGTGGAGGAAATGAATCAGATTATTTACCTGCATCAGTAATCTCGCTATCCGGCGAAGCCTCCTCATCGGCTACCTCGTCGGCGGCGGCGCGAATTCCATTACTCTCCGCCACTTTCTCGTCACTTTCCTTCACTTTCTCTTCGTCCAAACACGATTTAACCTCCTCGCTCTTGCAATTTTCCTCTGTTCTCGAAACGTTGCCGTTCTCTACGCAGGCCTTCTGGTCCTCCATCTCCACCTTCTTCGACCCGACGTTTCGGAGCTCCACCATCACATCGGCAATGGAGTGGTACTTCTGCATCTGGAGCACCGGGATCCAATTGATCCTCCTTCGGTGTATCGCCGCGAAAACGGAGGCGTACTCGTCACCTCCTCCGCTGAGCTGAGTCAGGTGCCCACAGAGGGCGTCGATGATCGCGTTTGCCGCCGCAAACTCTCCTTTGTACCAACCAATAATGGCGTCCTTCGCCACGGCGTCTGATACCACCGTCACCGGAGCCGGCCTCGGCATCATTGCGGGTCCCAGCACCGGGGCGGCTCCATCAGTCGGCGACACCGCTGGCCCAACCGCCATCGACATCTATGTCACCGTTAATCTCGAAATCAATTCCCTTCTCTTTTTTACACACTCCGAACCGAATTCCGGTATTTTTCCGGCGTTCCTCTCTGACACTCGGGAGATTTGAGGAGGAGGGAGAGGAAAGAGAGTAGAGAAGGAGGCGGAAGAAAATTTCACATGGAGGGCTTTGGGTGGGGACTCTATATATACTCCGGAGAAAGAGTGAGAGTGGCAATGTCTGTGTCGGTGGGGACCACCGGTTGATGTGGCAATTTCGAGGTGGTATACGTGGCACTATTTTGGGGTTGTTGGCTAAAATGGGTGGAACGATAGTTAGGGCACAGTTGGCCGACTGCAGAGGCGGGGACGCGGGGTAAGTAGAGGTAAAATTATAAATATACCCTTGCTCTGAGTGAATTAGGTTTATGGCACGTGCAATATTTGGCTGGCGGGGATTTTCATGTGCACCAGTGTACATGTATAAGAAAAAGGCTTTCTACTTTTCATTTTTGGACCGTATAGATAAATCCAAGACATCGAGCGATTAGCTGATTTAATAGTACTTGTTTTCGTTTTATTTAAGAGGTTTTAAATTTGATTCGAATCAATATATTTGTAGTCCTTTGTTGTAATTAGTTCGGTTACGGTAGCGTAATTTTATTATGGTATTTTTTATCATTGTAAAACTCGTGTCAAAATTGGTAAGTAACATTAGTTTAATGGTGATGATCGATACGATAATGTAAAAAAAAAGCAGACTAGGTTGGGGTTCAAAACGTCTAACAAAACATATCTTATTTGAAAAGGCTTTTAAAATGATTGAAAATATTTTTGATGACAATGCTTTTTAAACAAATCCTTAATAAAAATCAAAATGAATTTTGAAAAAACACTTTAAGTACTTTCTGCAGGGAGCACAAAATATGTGATTCTTTTTAAAAAAAACATTTAAAGTGCCTTTGAAATTCAAAATCAATTTCACTAAAAACAAATTCAATTATTTTAAAAGCACTTTTAAACAAGCGCATATATGATAAGTTCATAAAGCCGCTTTGGCCATTTACATTTCCAATTTTTCTGCATTTTCATCTACTGTTTTTGTCATTATTTTTCCATAAACTTTGGAATTGTATTACTCATGAACCGTCTAATATTTTTATACGGTACCAATGTCCAACTCAGACTTATATTCTAACCAAGTTCATAATTACAGTTTTATCAAATTAAATATTGGGTGGATTTTTCAATAATCTCTTAACATGTATTGCAGAAGCGCGTATTAGTTTATGATTTAATTCAAAGAATCCAAAGTTACGATAGCGTAATTTTATTATGGCGCTTTTTATCGTTGTAAAACTCGCGTCAAAATTGGTAAGTAACACTAGTCTAATGGTGACACTAGTCTAATGGTGACGATCGATACGATAATGTAAAAAAAAGCAAACTAGGTTAGGGTTTGAAACGTCTATGAAAACATATCTCATTTAGAAAAGCTTTTAAAATGATTGAAAATACTTTTGATGATAATATTTTTTAAACCAATTCTTAATAAAAATTAAAAGGAATTTTGGAAAAGCACTTTAAGTGCTTCCTGTGACATCCCACATCGCCCAGGGGAGTGATCCTTAAATGTATATTCTCATCTCTACCTAGCACGAGTCCTTTTGGGAGCTCACTGGCTTCAGGTTCCATAGGAACTCCGAAGTTAAGCGAGAAGGGGGCTAGAGCAATCCCATGATGGGTGACCCACTGGGAAGTTACTCGTGAGTTCCCAAAAACAAAACCGTGAGGGAATGGTAAGCCCAAAGCGGACAATATCGTGCTACGGTGGTGGAGCGGGCCCGGAAAGTTGGGTGGATTGTGACATTCCACATCGCCCAGGGGAGTGATCCTTAAACGTATATTCTCATCCCTACTTAGCACGAAGCCTTTTGGGAGCTCACTGGCTTCAGGTTCCGTAGGAACTCCGAAGTTAAGCGAGAAGGGGGCTAGAGCAATCCCATGATGGGTGAACCACTGGGAAGTTGCTCATGAGTTCCCAAAAACAAAACCGTGAGGGAATGGTAAGCCCAAAGCGGACAATATCGTGCTACGGTGGTGGAGCGGGCCCGGGAAGTGATCTGCTCCGGGCCGGGATGTGACAATTGGTATCAGAGCCTAACCCTGTCTGTGGTGTGCCGACGAGGACGTCGAGCCCCTAAGGAGGGTGGATTGTGACATCCCACATCGCCCAGGGGAGTGATCCTTAAATGTATATTCTCATCTCTACCTAGCACGAGGCCTTTTGGGAGCTCACTGGCTTCAGGTTCCATAGGAACTCCGAAGTTAAGTGAGAAGGGGGCTAGAGCAATCCCATGATGGGTAACCCACTGGGAAGTTGCTCGTGAGTTCCCAAAAACAAAACCATGAGGGCATGGTAAGCCCAAAGCGGACAATATCGTGCTACGGTAGTGGAGCGGGCCCGGAAAGTTGGGTGGATTGTGACATCCCACATCGCCCAGGGGAGTGATCCTTAAATGTATATTCTCATCCCTACTTAGTACGAGGCCTTTTGGGAGCTCACTGGCTTCGGGTTCCGTAGGAACTCCGAAGTTAAGCGAGAATGGGGCTAGAGCAATCCCATGATGGGTGACCCACTGGGAAGTTGCTCGTGAGTTCCCAAAAACAAAACCGTGAGGGAATGGTAAGCCCAAAGCGGACAATATCGTGCTACGGTGGTGGAGCGGGCCCGGAAAGTTGGGTGGATTGTGACATCCCACATCGCCCAGGGGAGTGATCCTTAAATGTATATTCTCATCCCTACTTAGCACGAGGTCTTTTGGGAGCTCACTGGCTTCGGGTTCCGTAGGAACTCCGAAGTTAAGCGAGAATGGGGCTAGAGCAATCCCATGATGGGTGACCCACTGGGAAGTTGCTCGTGAGTTCCCAAAAACAAAACCGTGAGGGAATGGTAAGCCCAAAGCGGACAATATCGTGCTACGGTGGTGGAGCGGGCCCGGAAAGTGATCCACCCTGGACCGGGATGTGACACTTCCTGTAAGATAAATACTTCATGCAAGAAGCACAAGATATGTGCTTCCTGCAATAAGCACAAGATATGTGCTTCCTAATAAAAAAAAAACATATAAAGTGTGTGACGGCCAGCACGTCTTGGTCTTGGTCCGGGCGTGTCACTTTTGGAACTCAAAATCAATTTCATTAAAAACAATTTCAGTTATTTTAAAAACACTTCCAAGCAAACGCATATATGGTAAGTTTATAAAATCGCTTTGGCCATTTACATTTCCAATTTTTCTGCATTTTCATCTACTACTTTTGTCATTATTTTTCCATAAACTTTGGAATTGTATTACTCATGAACCGTCTAATATTTTTATATGGTACCAATGTCCTAACTTGGTAATTTGGATGTGAACTCAGCCTTATATTATAACCAAGTTCTTAATTACAGTTTTATCAAATTAAATATTGGGTGAATTTTTCAATAATCTCTTAATATGTATTGCAGAAGCGTATTAGTTTATGATTTAATTCAAAGAATCCAAAGTATATTATATTATTGATGCTTAACTGCCCTCTCATGCCGAGTGCGGATTTTAAGCTCACCATTGATATCGACACATTCAAAATCGTCAAATATTCGGAGCGTTCTTCAATTCAATTTTTTTTCTTTTTTCTTGTTGCTGGATATCTTGTCCGTACAGATCTTCTCTTTGTTTTTAGGAATTATTTAATTTAAATATCTAACATTGAATCTAATTAATATGATCTAACTAACGATCATAACGTTGGCTAAAATATATGCAAGTAACTATTCGAGTAATATAATCAATCTAATCATATTATACAATCATATATTTGATCTGATCATTTAATTCGTAAACTGTCCAAAAATAAAAGAATATTAACAGATTAACGGTCATTACTAATTAGCGCACTGCATTCGTGTAACTATTAATAAGTTATTTCGCCTGAAGGGCAGTTACTCGATTAATGAATTGTACCAAGTAATCGATTTGCTCGATCGGTCATTTTAATCATTAACTAAGTTATGTGTATTGTAATTTTCTAAGAATTCCATATATGTAACACTTTTAATCTATTTCGGCTTTTTTTTTATTTTATAGAAGTACGATATTTATTGATGTAAAATAAAAGCGTACAAGCTGAGGATAGCATGCTTAAATAGGTCTTGATAAAAACCTTGCAGGGGCTTTCAACCCGGTCTAAGGGAAAAAGAGCAAGATACGTTGACTTTATTTGATGAGATCATTTGTTCATAAAATACATCAAGGTTAGCTCAAGTAGCATGCTATAGTACTAAAGCTTTGATGGGATCATTCACAACGAAAATTCATTAACCTAATGTTAGTTTAATGGTCATATAACTATTGAGGTAACTTCTAGTGAGTTTTGGACTAAATTGTTTAGTGAGTTTTTTGTTTTAAGACTTTGTTTTGATGTACTAGCAATATTCAAGAAGGGATGTTGAACCAAATTCATGCACCATTGCACACCAAAAATCTGTGCAACTCCAGTAACCTATAAGAAAGCGAATAACCATGATCGGACTGGTCTTGGGTACCGGTGTGGTGCCAACCAAAAGCTCTCCAAACGGTTAAGTTAGTAAAGCAATACTAAGACTCAATCAGTGGCCGGCAAGAGAATAAGGAAAGAATATGCATTGTACTAGTGAATTACGTTACCAGAATCATGCTTTAGACGGGGATATTTATACTAGTTGGGAGAGAGACCTTTTAGGATGTGAAATCCGTATTAAACCAAGAGAATCCAAGAGAACAAGATTGGATATTGTTTCCTCTTAGGAGTGTGATTTCTTATGGCGTACGTCAATTCGTAGATTGTAGGAATCTCCAAGAATATAGGAAACCTGTCTGATCCTCGTCGTATCAAGTTTTCATGTCTTGTGGAACAAGAATGGTCGATTTCAACGAAATCACCAGACTTTGCCTACCTTTTCGGACCACACCAAGAGCAACTCCATTCGATCGAAGCTGTTGATTCCAAGACCAGGCTTCTGAAGTACGGGTTTTATGATCCACCTTTGCCCGGCCTTGAAAAATTTTCATGGTCCCAAAGGGAAAACCGAATTTATTAAGAGCTCGGATACAAGATTGAATACTCTCAACTAACTATATTTATTTAAGCTTTAGAAG